TCTGTGTTATGTGGCTTCATCTATTCAGCCATTGTGTGTGTGTGTGTTTGTGTGTGTGTGTGTGTGTGTGTGTGTGTGTGTTTGTGTGTGTGTGTGTGTGTGTGTGTGTGTGTGTGTGTGTGTGTGTGTGTGTGTCCTCATCCCCTGCTGTTGTCTCCGTGCCGACCACGCTGATGAGCCATTGGTCGGTTGGTGTCCCAGATACTGACTGAAGGGCTCCTCTGATTGGCTAACGTCTTTAAAAATGATTGTAGTTTCTGTTCAGGTGAAAAAACAATCATTTAAATCATCTGATCATCCGACCGTTACTTTATTGATTAATCAGTCTAATCAAATCCTCTAATGATTAACTCTTCTAACACATTATAATATCCCGTTACGTCTTTTCAAATGTGAAACAAAAAACATTGAACCAACTATTTAAATATATATTATTGGTAGTAATAGATCATAATATAGAAAATAGACAAATGTTGAGTCTTATTAGTGCTTGTTAGTTTGAGCTTCAGCTGATCTCAGATCAGTCTCTGTTTCTAAAACCACACATGGCGTCTGTATATGAACATACTGATTCATTATTTATATATATATATATATATATATATATATATATATATATATATATATATAGTGAGAGAGAGAGACAGATAGAATCAAGACTCACTGGTTAATAATTCAGATTAGAGCTCAAAGAGCAGTTTTGTCCTCGGCAGCAGGAAGTCTGATTACTTCTATGTTTTATTGATCTTCCTTTAAGGAAGACATCACTTCCTGTCCGTTGGTGAATAGTTCATTTGAATTATTATTATATTATATTATCTTTTGCTTAATTGCATCGGGTACGTCTGAATTTACAGCCTTCACAGAAAAATGTTGAAACCTCACTGATAATTTACTCATAAACAATTCTACTGTGCTATTTATGCATTAACAGCATCACAAAGTATTTTAAGAAAAGTGAATAATAATAACTTTTAATTAATATCATTTTACAAATGCATTTGAGACAGAAGAAGTGTGAAAACAGCACAAAACGTTGTGTTAAATATGTAAATATAAAAGACGATACTGTCATGAACAAAGAGACCATCACGTCCCTTCAATAGTGAGATGAGATGGTTTTGGGTCATGTGACCACAAGTGTTTTCATTCAAACAACCTTCTGGTTTCACAGAAGCAGATTTGCATCCACGTCCGATCGGGACATTGTTCTCCTCCCAAAGACACGGACTCAGAATCAGCTGCTCGTTGGGATTCATTAGTTGATGCTTCCTGACGTCCTCGTGAATGAATCCGACCTGCAGAGTTCATGTGTCTGATGATGAGCACGTTGTGTGCTGTTTGCTGTGTTGTTTCAGTGTGGTACTCTGAGCACCACTGAGCTCCACCTCATTGGTCTCTTGTGTTCCAGTACACGCGGGTCTGGATCCCCGACCCGGACCACGTGTGGAGGGCTGCCGAGATCGTCAGGGACTACAAGGAAGGAGAGCCGGTGCTCCACCTCACTCTGGAGGATGACACGGTATCTATCTGAACAACAAACACCGTTTGTTTTGTTATTGATTGTGTATTGATCGGGTCATTGATTCCCCCCCCACCCTGCCCAGCCTCTGGAGTACCCTGTCGGTCCAAAAAGTAACCCCCTCCCTTTCCTGCGTAACCCTGACATCCTGGTGGGCGAGAACGACCTCACTGCTCTCAGTTACCTGCATGAACCTGCAGTCCTGCACAACCTGAAGGTCCGCTTCCTGGAGCCCAACCACATCTACACGTACTGCGGTGAATAAATGTTTCCTGATTCCTGATTCCTGATAAACAGGCTGCTTAGATTCACATTGGTGATGTCTGCATGTAGAGAAGCATAAACATTATTGAATGAATTGGACGATGAATGGATGATGTCTTGGCGGTGTGTGCAGGTATTGTTCTGGTGGCCATCAACCCGTACGAGCAGCTGCACATTTATGGGGAGGAGGTGATCCGGGCCTACAGCGGTCAGAACATGGGCGACATGGACCCTCACATCTTTGCCGTGGCCGAAGAGGCCTACAAGCAGATGGCCAGGTTACCGAGGGAGCTACAATGACCTCATTGACTTCTCCTGGAAGCACCGTGGCTGATGAATCTCTTCTTGTGTGCAGAGACGAGAGGAACCAGTCGATCATCGTCAGCGGGGAATCAGGAGCGGGAAAGACGGTTTCCGCCAAGTACGCTATGCGCTTCTTCGCCACGGTGGGCGGCTCGACCAGCGACACCAACGTGGAGGAGAAGGTGCTCGCCTCCAGTCCCATCATGGAGGTCAGTGGGCTCCCTGCTGTTTCACCGAGAGTCACATGTTCACGCTGACCCCCCTCCCTCACTTCTGCACAGCAACTACCAAATTAAAGCAGACCCAAACTTTAAAGGTTCCTAACTAGCACTCCTCAAAGACCTTGTTCCTCATGAGCAGAGTTCAGATGCCACCCATCCAAAGTCCCTAAAGTCCTGTTCCTGGTGAACATTCCCTGCAGCTGAAGGTGTTACATGATGCTGATGACTCTGTCATGGGACTGTCTTATAGTATTTGATCTAATCTTCTGTTAACAGGCCATCGGAAACGCTAAAACCACCCGGAACGACAACAGCAGCCGCTTCGGGAAGTACATTGAGATTGGCTTCAATCGCCAGTACCGCATCATTGGGGCCAACATGAGGACGTACCTGCTGGAGAAGTCCCGCGTGGTCTTCCAGGTGGGTGTTGGTTCCATGGGTCAGTTTCTTGTGCCGATCGCTCGGTCACGTCTCAATGTTTGAATTGTGTGTTTTAGGCAGAGGACGAGAGGAACTATCACATTTTCTACCAGCTGTGTGCCTCAGCCAGCCTACCGGAGTACAAGGACCTCTGCCTGGGTAAGTCACCGCTAGACCAGCTTTACCCAGACCACCTTTACCCTGACCAGCGTACCAAGACCAGCTTTGCCCAGACCAGCTTTACCCAGACCAGCTTTACCAAGACCACCTTTAACCAGACCACCTTTAACCAGACCAACTTTGCCCAGACCACCGTTAACCAGACCAGCTTTACCCTGACCAGCTTTACCCTGACCAGCTTTACCCAGACCAGCTTTACCCAGACCACCTTTAACCAGACCAGCTTTGCCCAGACCACCGTTAACCAGACCAGCTTTACCCTGACCAGCTTTACCCTGACCAGCTTTACCCAGACCAGCTTTACCCAGACCACCTTTAACCAGACCAGCTTTGCCCAGACCACCGTTAACCAGACCAGCTTTAAAGGAAATGAACAGCCGTTTGTGTAAATTTTAGTTTGAAGCTCAGTTAGTTGAAGAAGACTGGTGTGGTTTGTCTTTGTTTGTGGTTTTACAGGTTTTAGATTCAATCAATATAAATGTTATTACTTAATCTATTGTTGACTTCTTGATGCTTTCTCGTCACTCAGCCAGTGCTGAAGACTTCACCTTCACGTCTATGGGAGAGAACATCTTCATTGAGGGAGTGAACGATGCAGAAGACTTGGAGAAGACCAGGGAGGCCTTCACACTGCTGGGTGAGGACGAAACATGACTAATGATTAACATTGAGAGGATGTCCTCATTGTCCTCATTGTCACAAACGTTGATTGTCTGGTTCTCAGGGATAAAGGAGGGCAATCAGAGCAGCATCTTTAAAGTCATCGCCTCCATCCTTCATCTGGGAAACATCGAGATTTGCTCGCAGCGAGACGGGGAGTCCTGTCACGTCTTGGTGCGTCGCCACGGTTACAGCTTGCACCTATGATCAACACGTCCTCTAACAGGTGTGTGTGTGTGTTGCAGAGAGACGACCTCCATCTGAAACACTTCTGCACGTTGCTGGGGGTGGAGCTAAAGCAGATGGAGCACTGGCTCTGTCACAGGAAGCTCGTCACCGCGACCGAGACGTACGTGAAGAACATGTCGACCAAGCAGGCGGAAAATGCCCGCGATGCGCTCGCCAAACACATCTATGCTCGCATGTTTGACTGGATCGTGGAGCACATCAACAAGGCCCTGCACACCTCCTCCAAACAGCACTCCTTCATCGGAGTCCTGGATATCTATGGGTGAGAAGTCCAGCAGTCTTTATATAATCAATAGATAGAGCTCTCCCTGACCGTAAACCCGAGCCAGCCCTAGATGTGAACCTGAACCAGTCCCAACTGTAAACCTGAGCCAGCCCTAGATGTGAACCTGAACCAGTCCCAACTGTAAACCTGAGCCAGCCCTAGATGTGAACCTGAACCAGTCCCAACTGTAAACCTGAGCCAGCCCTAGATGTGAACCTGAACCAGTCCCAACTGTAAACCTGAGCCAGCCCTAGATGTGAACCTGAACCAGTCCCAACTGTAAACCTGAGCCAGCCCTAGATGTGAACCTGAGTCCCAACTGTAAACCTGAGCCAGCCCTAGATGTGAACCTGAGCCAGCCCTAGATGTGAACCTGAACCAGTCCCAACTGTAAACCTGAGCCAGCCCTAGATGTGAACCAGTCCCAACTGTAAACCTGAGCCAGCCCTAGATGTGAACCTGAACCAGTCCCAACTGTAAACCTGAGCCAGCCCTAGATGTGAACCTGAGTCCCAACTGTAACCTGAGCCAGCCCTAGATGTGTAAACCTGGATTACCACTAGAAGCTGCTCCTACATCACTTTAACTCTATAGACTATTACTTCCTGTGTATTTCTCAGTGTATAAACGGTATATTAATAACTTCCCATTTACATTAATTTCCAGTCACTTTGCGTTACTCTACACCTGCTTGCCACAAATATAGTTTATCTCAAACACATCTCAGATTCTCAGACCTCTTCTCTTTCATACATATTTAATGAACTTTGTTGGAGGAAATGTGAGACTTTCTGGAAACAAATAACTTCAAAACCTTTAAGTCCTCCTTCTGCTTGTCTGCAGCTTCGAGACGTTTGAGGTGAACAGCTTCGAACAGTTCTGCATCAACTACGCCAACGAGAAACTTCAGCAGCAGTTCAACTCTGTGAGGCTCCTCCTTTGATTCCAATGACCTCCCGTTGTTCTCGTCTCCACGTCTAACGAGTCTCCGTTGTGTCCTCAGCACGTGTTCAAGCTGGAGCAGGAGGAGTACATGAAGGAGCAGATCCCCTGGACGCTCATCGACTTCTACGATAACCAGCCCTGCATCGACCTGATCGAGGCTCGGCTTGGCATCCTGGACCTGCTAGACGAAGAGTGCAAAGTCAGTCGACCCGTCTCGTGTTTCCATCCTGAGCACATTACATTGTTCAATGGCAGGTTCAGGAAAATGAGAGATGTCAAAATCCTAGGATTGTTTTTTGCCACGTTCGCTGCTAACAATTTAGCTATTTTACATCTCTGTTTGTAGCTAAAGTCAAACGTTCTGTAGGTCCAAATAGTGGTTCTGACACCTTCGGAATTCCTCTATGATCCACTTCCTGTTTCAGGTGCCGAAGGGCACGGACGAGAACTGGGCCCAGAAGCTGTACAAGCAGCACTCAGTCAGTGCTCACTTTCAGAAACCTCGCATGTCCAACGTCTCCTTCATCATCGTCCACTTCGCTGATAAGGTGAGTGGAGGCCGACCGGGTCAAAAAACCAACAAACAAAAGTCCTTTCACCGCTTCCTGAAGCAGAATAGTTTTCTAAAGAAGTATAAAGAATATGTAGTGTTTTAATAGATAAACTAAATATGAAGATGCATAGAAATGTTCACATAGAAGAAAATAACTAAGACTTTAATCGTGTTGATAAACCTGCCGTTATGTTGCCACGGCGACAGGATGGAACATCTTGGAGGTAATCATGTGATTATTGTGACTCTGATGCAGCTCTCTCTTTTCTTGACAGGTGGAATATCAGAGTGAAGGTTTTCTGGAGAAGAACCGGGACACGGTGTACGGGGAGCAGATCAACATCCTGAAGGCCAGTGAGGTAAGAACCAGAACCGTGGAGCCCAGCCAAGAGTTTGACATCAGTTTAGCATCATAGCTAATGTAACGCTAGCGTTTAGCAAGGCAAGGAGGAATATGGCCAATAAGTCGCGTCATAAGGCGGGGCATAGGGGAACCCGGCGAATGGTGGTGGAGCCAACCATGGAGATGGTTGTGGATTTCCGGCGGAACAGAGCCCCACCCTCCCCCATCACACTGTGTGACTCCCCCGTCACTATTGTGGATTCCTTCCGTTTCCTGGGCTCCATCATCACTCAGGACCTCAAGTGGGAGCTGAACATCAGCTCCATCACCAAGAAGGCTCAGCAGAGGTTGTTCTTCCTGAGGCAGCTGAAGAAACTGAACGGCCGTCTGCCGTCCGTGCAGGACTTGTTCGCTTCCAGGTCTCTGAAGCGAGCTAAAAAGATCGCGGCCGACCCCTCCCACCCCGGACATAAACTGTTTGTGCCCCTTCCATCTGGCAGGAGGCTGAGGTCCATCAGGACTACGACCTCCCGCCACACCAACAGTTTCTTCCCGTCGGCAGTCGGGCTCATCAACAGAGCCCGGTCCCCCACTGACTGACTATAACACTCCACCGGTCACTCCCCTTCATACTGCACACGTCACTTTAACTGCAATTCATCACTTTGTCACTTGTCACTTTGTCTCTTGTCTGTTACTTGTTCGTTAGTGCACTTTATGCTTAATATTTTTCTTTTTAATATTTAAGTTTTTTTAACTTTATTCCCTTGTTTTATACTAACCCATAGCCTTAGCCTTATTCTACTAACCCATTGCATTAGCATTTCATTCCACTTTATTTTATTACTTGTGCACTGCTGTCTTGTCTGTCTACTGTCGCGCACTAACCGCCAAGACAAATTCCTTGTATGTTTGACATATTTTGGCCAATAAATGTTTCCTGATTCCTGAATCAGCTGACCCTCTCCCACTGTCAGCCAATCATAATGTGTGATGTAGCGCAACCTGGTTCCTACACAACGTTTAATAGTCTCCTCTCAGTTTCAGCTGGTTGCAGATCTCTTTCACGACAAGGACGATGTAGCCCCCCCGAAGTCCTCCAGAGTGAACGTCAGACCGGCCAAGTCCACCCCCAAAGCCCCAAACAAAGAGCACAAGAAGACCGTGGGACATCAGGTGAGCTCTCTGCTGGTCCCTGCTGGTCCCTGGAGGACTCCCACAGTGACTCCCACTCATGATGTTCCTCTCAGTTCCGCAGCTCCCTCCACCTCCTGATGGAGACCCTGAACGCTACGACTCCTCACTACGTCCGCTGCATCAAACCCAACGACCTGAAGGAGCCCTTCATGTGAGTCCTCCGTCTCTGCTCAGAACGTACGATCAGCATTACATGAGTAGTAAGAACCAGCGAAACGGATCGCTCGTCGTCTTAACCACACATTTATTTGATTTATTTTTACTATTTAACACCTGAAATTTGAATATTGGTCTCAATAAAGGTTAGATCTAAAAACATTGTAGTGTTGAATAATAACGATGAACATTAGCAAGACACCAAACCCCTAATTGCTCCTCGGGCAAAAAAGCGTCAGCTAAATGACCTGTAATGTAACAAGACACATTTTATATATATATCTATAGATATAGAGTGTGTGTGTGTGTGTGTAATACATACACACATTTCATATATATATATATATATATATATATATATATATTAGTGTGTAAACTATATGATCTAGGTCTGAAAAGTACCTGTAGCTGACGGACCTGACAGGAAGTCACTGTCTGTCACTTCCTGTCAAGTCTCCAGTGGACGGAGCCCATGAAGAAGAGTCCGGAGGTCTGAGTGAATGTTGCTGCTGACTCGTCTTAACGTCACATGACAGATTCTCAGCTGAGCCTCATTCAGCAGGACGAGGAAGACGAGGTGGGAGGAAGAGATCGCTTTCAGAGCTGGGCTTTGTTTTAAAATACGATGAAGATGATGATCTGAAGTGTCTCCTGTGATGAAGATGATGGTCTGAAGTGTGTCCTGTGATGAAGATGATGGTCTGAAGTGTCTCCTGTGATGAAGATGATGGTCTGAAGTGTCTCCTGTGACGAAGATGATGATCTGAAGTGTCTTCTGTGATGAAGATGATGATCTGAAGTGTCTCCTGTGAGGAAGATGATGATCTGAAGTGTCTCCTGTGATGAAGATGATGATCTGAAGTGTCTCCTGTGAGGAAGATGATGGTCTGAAGTGTCTTCTGTCATGAAGATGATGGTCTGAAGTGTCTCCTGTGATGAAGATGATGGTCTGAAGTGTCTCCTGTGATGAAGATGATGGTCTGAAGTGTCTCCTGTGATGAAGATGATGATCTGAAGTGTCTTCTGTGTGATGAAGATGATGATCTGAAGTGTCTCCGGTGATGAAGATGATGATCTGAAGTGTCTCCTGTGAGGAAGATGATGATCTGAAGTGTCTCCTGTGATGAAGATGATGATCTGAAGTGTCTCCTGTGAGGAAGATGATGGTCTGAAGTGTCTTCTGTCATGAAGATGATGGTCTGAAGTGTCTCCTGTGATGAAGATGATGGTCTGAAGTGTCTCCTGTGATGAAGATGATGATCTGAAGTGTCTTCTGTGTGATGAAGATGATGATCTGAAGTGTCTCCTGTGATGAAGATGATGGTCTGAAGTGTCTCCCGTGATAAAGATGATGGTCTGAAGTGTCTCCTGTGATGACGATGATGGTCTGAAGTGTCTCCTGTGATGAAGATGATGGTCTGAAGGATCTCCTGTGATGAAGATGATGATCTGAAGTGTCTCCTGTGATGAAGATGATGAAGTGTCTTCTCTCTGCAGGTTTGATTCCAGGAGAGCGGTCCAGCAGCTCAGAGCCTGTGGAGTCCTGGAGACGATCCGGATCAGTGCAGCTGGGTATCCGTCCAGGTGAGTCCTCCTCTTCTTCCTCGTTGTCTATCAGGTAAATGTCTTGTCAACGCCGCAGTGTTTAAATAAAGTTGTGGATGATTGAAAGGTGTGTCCCGTGTCTCTAGGTGGACCTACCCAGACTTCTTCAACCGGTACCGGTGCTGCTGAGAAGTCGAGATGGCCTCACGGACAAGGAGCTGGTGTGCAGGAACCTGCTAGAGACCTGATCAAAGTTTCTTTCTCCAAACGTCATTGACACAACTTCTGCCAGTCGCTCTGCTACGTTGTGACATCACTGGTGTCCTCAGGATCACGACATGTTCCAGTTTGGGAAGACAAAGATCTTTTTCCGGGCGGGGCAGGTGGCCTACCTGGAGAAGCTCCGGGCCGACAGGTTCCGCTCGGCCTGCATCAAGATCCAGAAGACTGTGCGTGGCTGGCTGCAGAGGGTCCGGTACCGCAAGGTCCGCAAGATGGCCGTCAGCCTGCAGCGCTACGGGAGAGGGTACCTGGCCCGCAGGTCGGTGGTCTTCTCATCCTTCAATCATGTGATCCAGCAAACACTGAGCTCCATCTTCACATGCTCTATGTTTTATTCATAATGCTTCTCACCTCGTCTTCTTCTAGTTCCTCTAAAGTTTGTCTCTTTTTTTTCTGCAGGCACGCTGACTTCCTGCGTCAGACCCGAGCCGCCCTGCTCTGTCAGAAGCAGTACCGCATGGTGAGAGACAGACGGGCGTACCTGAGGGTGAGACGGGCTGTCGTCACTATCCAGGCCTTCACCAGAGGGATGTTCACCCGCCGCATCTACCAGGAGGTACTGGTCCTCATCTGGTCCTGATCTGGTCTTCACATGCTCCTCAGGTTCATGTGAAGACCAGATCAGGACCTCGTGTCCCCTCTCCTGTGTTGTCTCATCTGAAGACACTGTAATGACATCATCAGTGAATTGGAGGCAAAGCGTCTTCAATTCACTCTGGAATGTCTCTCTCTCTCTCTCTCTCTCTGGGGGGAAGTTGAGGTGTTTTGAGCTTGTGGAGCGTGATTGGGAGCATCTGATAGTCCGTTTGATATTTCTTGCTGTTGTGGTGGTGTAATATACGTGTTGCGGTGTAATATACGTGTTGCGGTGTAATCTACGTGTTGTGGTGTAATATACGTGTTGTGGTGTAATATACGTGTTGCGGTGTAATATACGTGTTGCGGTGTATTATACGTGTTGTGGTGTAATATACGTGTTGCGGTGTAATATACGTGTTGTGGTGTATTATACGTGTTGTGGTGTAATATACGTGTTGTGGTGTAATATACGTGTTGTGGTGTAATATACGTGTTGTGGTGTATTCTACGTGTTGCGGTGTAATATACGTGTTGCGGTGTAATATACGTGTTGCGGTGTAATATACGTGTTGTGGTGTATTCTATGTGTTGTGGTGTAATATACGTGTTGTGGTGTAATATACGTGTTGCGGTGTAATATACGTGTTGCGGTGTATTCTACGTGTTGTGGTGTAATATACGTGTTGTGGTGTAATATACGTGTTGCGGTGTAATATACGTGTTGTGGTGTAATATACGTGTTGTGGTGTAATATACGTGTTGCGGTGTAATATACGTGTTGTGGTGTAATATACGTGTTGTGGTGTAATATACGTGTTGTGGTGTAATATACGTGTTGCGGTGTAATATACGTGTTGTGGTGTAATATACGTGTTGCGGTGTAATATACGTGTTGTGGTGTAATATACGTGTTGTGGTGTAATATACGTGTTGTGGTGTATTCTACGTGTTGCGGTGTATTCTACGTGTTGCGGTGTAATATACGTGTT